CCCATCACACTGCAGCTCCACCACTGAGGAATGGGCATTTCAGAAACGCTGCCACGTTCAAAGGCAAATTTCAATTACCCACGCCTTTAAGCAAATAGAGACAGTCTGGTTACACTCATCAGGAAAACTAACTTAACAAAATGGAAAAAAAAATCACTGATGAAAATCCATGCTATTAAACCTATTTTTTAACCTTGAATTTCCAAATGAGATGTTTCTTAATCTTTAATTTCTAAGCATGATTCCCAATGCGATAAGGATTTATTCAGCAAACATTCCTGCATAGCACTCTAAAGGTCACATCAGGTTAATTTGTAACTGGGGTGCACGACATCAACCACCATAGCTCGAAATCAGGGCGACACGGTGCCATTTTAAAAACAATTTTTCCCCCAAGTAATTTCCATAAACCCTTGCCTGCCTTCTAATAAGATCTTAGCAAATATGTTTTCTTCGATGAACAGCGTGAAGGTGGAAAAATAATCCAGACTGGTTAGATAACAACGCATGCACCTAGGAAAAGATTAAATGAACCATCTCGTTTTGATCCGTGGAAAATAAGAGATCAGAAAACACAATCTTTGGGCTTAAATTCTTTTTTAAACCAGTATCGATAAGCAGAGACAGCAGCAACCAGGAGATAGCAATGAAGTTTCAGTATGCAGTCCTCCAGTCCTTCCTTCCCAGGTACTTCTCTTTTTTTCCAGGCCCTGTTACAGCTGCTCTGAGGCATTGGGTGGCTGCAGGTTTCAGGTCAGCAGCTGCCTAATGGGGCTCAGCACCCAGGAACTGGGAGCTCTCTTCTTTGGAAAAGGTTGAACCACATTTCTTGGAGTCCCCAGTACAAGAAAGAAGCAGAGGAGGGCCACTAAGATGATCAAAGGGCTGGAGCATCTCTCCTATGAGGAAAGGTTGAGGGAACTGGGCTTGTTTAGCTTAAAGAGAAGGCTCTGGGGAGACCTCGTTGTGGCCTTCCAGTACTTAAAGGGAGCATATAAACAGGAAGGGGAATGGCTGTTTTTGAGGATGCGTAGTGATAGGGCAAGGAGGAATGGTTTTAAACTGAGACGGGAAGGTTTAGATGTTAGGAGGAAGTTTTTCACACAGAGGGTGGCGATGCACTGAACAGGTTGCTCAAGGAGGTTGCAGATGCTCCATCCATGGAGGCATTCAAGGCCAGGCTGGATGTGGCTCTGCACAGCCTGGTCTGTTGTTGGTGACCCTGAACATAGCAGGGGGTTGAAAGTAGATGATCATTGTGGTCCTTTTCAACCCAGGCCATTCTATGATTCTATGACAAAACAGAGCTGGCTCAAGCCTTTGGGCACAGCTTTGCTTTGGCACATTTAACCCTTTGCTGCAGTGCCGTGCCCAACAAACCATAATGGGGCAGCAGCAGAGACAGAAGTAACACGTGTATGCTGTGCTCTGCTTTACTACTCTTGCAACCACTCCACCCAGCTGGTGAAAGTAGGCTGCTAAGGACCAGAACACGGCACGTACAAATACAGCTATTGCAGGAGACGATTCATTTAACAATAAAAGTAATCAAAACTACACAAGACCTATAGGACGCAGCAGCCAAAGTGCTCCTCAGAAGTATTAACACTTTCCATTCTTTAGTACGGTTTTGAGGAGGCTGTCACCAGAAACCCTACAAGAAGCAAAAAGACAATGCAGTAGCTGCTGCTCTGCTGTCAGATCAGCAACCTGCACCACCTGGAAGATTTTTCCTTATCCCACATCGCTGGGAGTTTCTCCTATTCACAGGATCCACACCATTACAACAGCCCAAGGACAACATGTGCTGTCACTCACCTCCTCCCTTGTGGAAAAAACCCCATAGGGGAGATTCTGAAGAGGGAAATCTGAGTCCTTGTCCACGTGGATGAAAGACATGCTGAATTCTCACAGAGATGGCTCCGACCTGCTGGGCCACTGCGTTCCCACCTCAAAGGAAGAGCCCCTTCAGATGTTGCAAGGGGGAGCACAGCAGCACCAAATCCCACCCTCCATCCGCAGCCCCAAACCAATCACAGCCCTGCCCGCATCCCACCCCTCATCCTGCTGGCAGCAGCCGCGGTTAATTAGTGCCAGAGGTTTGCATGAGTCAGCAGCTGGTAACTGTTCCTGTCGAGGTATGGGGCCAGCACGCAGACAGGCTTTTCCTGCTCGATAAACCCTTATGTGAAACCAAGGCCATCCTTCAGCAGCTCCATCCTTGCAGGTGGGGAAATCCATGCAGAGAGCTCCAGATGGGGCACTGAGACCAGAGATGCCATCCATTTACCTTCCATGGGGTGATTCACTTGACAGCAAGGCAGGAGAACGATGTCCCCACCTAACCTCAACAGAGCAGTTCTTCTGCCAGAAGCTCAGCAACACTGAGAAAGTGCTCAACTGTCACCTCCAGCTGCACTTCACCTTCTTTTTAGCTTCATAATGCTGTATCCAAATTACATTTTTGCCAGACGGTTCCAATAGCTTAAAAACGGGTTTGTGCAAACAGGACAAGGGCAGGGAAACTTGTGGCATCTTCTGATCACCAGCGCAGCTTTTACCCAAAGCACGGGACACCCACATTTGGGAAAAACAGAAACCAATGAGGGAATACTTGTGAAACTGAAACCAAACAGAAGAGGTCACACCTTTTCAATAAGTGTGGTTAGACAGCTTGTGACTGCCAAGGCAAAGAACTTATAAGAACTTATTTCCTGCTCAACTCTTTTTTTTTTTTTTTTTTTTTTTTTTTTTGGCAGAGAAGACTCATTAGAAGAAACAGAACAAGCTGGAGAGGCAGAGATTCAGCACATGATGACACAACACCAGTGACGAGAGCCCATCTGTGACAGCTCCTCACTATAGCAAAGACAGCTCACGTGGTGCCATCTGGAATGGGTTCTTATTTCAAACAATACAATGCCTCACACCAACTCCTGCAAAATTCCCCGTAAGCAAATTCGATGCATCTCAGATACAACTGTTCCAGTGACCGCTGAGAATGTTTAACACTGTGGTTTCATGCCAGGTTACAGGAATTGTGTGCGCATACTCCAAGAAGAAAACATCTTGAAAGCGTGCATCAAATACACAGCACACGTCTGGAAAAACAAGATTTATGCAAGGGTGCTGTAGTGTTGTGAATGCGCTGGTATTAATTAAAGTGTTCATCTGCTAACCTAATGCTGATGACAGAATATGAAAAGCATCGCTGGTTATCCAGGCTGAGAAGCAGATCAACCACCGTGATAACATGAAGCCAAGGCCAAAGCAAACACCAACTTACTATCAGGGAAAGGTTGATTTCCAGTCCAAGTTTCAATATTACATCTTTCAATATTCTCTACTTGGAGCAATCTGCACAAGCCAGGCCACAAACAGATTTATTGGGTTATTTTGAGAATGTTACGTGTAGAAACAGAATTACCCAAGACTGACCCTGCCAGTCAGCACTGCCATCACACTGCAAGTCCAGTTTCCTCTTGGCACAGTTGCATTTCCTACCTTATAATCAAGGGCCAGCAGAATTATTGCTTCATAACAGGCAGCAGTAAGGATTACATGAATTCCAAAGGCAGCTGCTTCTCTGCCCTTTCTTCTTCCAATCTCTCAGATACCAGAACTTACAAAACAACTGTTTTTCCCCCATTGCAAAATCGATGGCATCTCCTCTCTGCTTAGCCCAGAAACATCACTGCCAGAGGAAATAGAAAAGGATACTTCTAGATAAAGGAGGAGAGACCAAAAATACTAAAGAGGAAGTTGTTAAACTCAGAAGGAAAGCTTTAGAGAAGAGTAAAGCGGTGGCTAAGTGAAAAGCAAACAGCCACGAAAAAAGAAGCTGCTGCTCTTCTGCTCTCTATGCTGCATAAGAGGAAGTTTAGCAAGTGCTCTGAGGAAATGCAAGATCTTTGACCCATAGGTGTAGACTGCTACTGGAACATGGAGTTACTTCTCCGCTCCTCTACTACAACAACACTTTGCTTCATCAATTGTGAGTAAGCCACTTCAGCAAGAACAAGATACTTCATTTATGACTGGTCTTGCAAATTACTCTCCATAGCAATCTGATAGAGAAAGCTCCTTCTGCTGTGCAGTGTTTGTGCTAAATGCTTCGTCTGCTAATTACCAACCATAGCTTTTAAAGAGCATTCAAAATTTTAAGGGATGCAGCCAGCTTTGATTAAAAATTTAACATCTTAAATAAAGCCACGCAGTTCCATTTATTTCACAAATGCTCAAAGGCAGCCGCAAGCCACCACGTGAAATGTCAGCCAGGGATCAGAACCACCTGGAGAGGAATTAGTCCCACCTCAGCGTTCTGCTAAGTCCTGTGATAAGCAGCACTGCCTGAATTTACCATACTACACAAACTACTCAAACTTTATGTGGATGACCTGGGTGGTAGAATGGTGAAACACTCTGGGTCTGATCAAACATACTGTCTTAAAGACAACTACTGAACAGTTACAAAACGGTAAGAAGGGTTCTCCCTACCCCCCACAAGAGGATTACTTACAAACCTGCAGATCTGCTGATGCACATGGAGGGTGGCTGTGGCAGCTTTCCATGTTGGAGCCTGTGGATTTCAAACCTGAGAACACAATGCCACTGGAGGAGCTGTCTCAGGACACATTCTGTCATCGAACTTCAAGGAGGCTTGTGCAGTGCTCTGTCACAGTGAATCACAAACCCCAGAGCAGTATTTTCTAGGACCAGAGTCACATGTGCTTGGCCTAATCACCAATAAAGCTGGAGACATTGCTTTCACCTATCTGTAGGCATGTTCCCAACTTCAGCATATCATCACAGATAACCCCACTCCTGCACACGTCAGGGATTTGCACAAAATACAAAATCAGACTATAGCTGGCACTGGGATACGTACAGCCTGTGGACAAATGCACTGTAAGTGAAGGAACCATCAATGGAAGGTTCCATGAAAACAAAGCAGGAGAGATCCAGGTTATTGATGCCAGTGACAGCCACAGGGGCTCCAATTTTTTTTTTTTTTTTTAATTTTATTTAATCAAAGTTAAGACATGAATAAACATAAATACAGCACAGGTACTTCAGATCATTCTTCATATTGTGTACAGACAGACTGATGGATGTAATACCAATGGAACCTGCAGTCAGTGAAGTGCATACAGCCTTCCCCCATACACACAAACCAATTTAAAAAAAAACAAAACAAAACAAACCACACAGACAATCTCAGCACACACTCTCATTACAAATGATTCATACATAAATAGGTAGAGGGTGCAAACAAGCTAATATGCGAACATGTATAACCTCTCGTTAATGGGAAAAAAAACAGAAGCAGCCATAATGATTAAAATACATTCAGTTACTGATAACTAGTTGTGCCATACAAGGCATTATCAAAAAAAGGAAATTGTGCTGCAGAGAAATGCTATATACAACAAGAAAATAAACTGCAAAGTTAACGCATGCATGTTTTATCCTGGAAAAGCACAGCCCTCCAATATTTTCTCCACGTTTGTTATAAAAGCCCTCTGCACTCAACTAAAATTAAAATGATCTTAAAGGATAATACTTGTAAAGTTTTACTTAAGTCTTCAGCCACAGAAAACTGCAATGAAAATAAATGTTCGGTCATTTTCAAAACAAAAACAAAGAACAAAATCTATTCATCTGATGACATGCATGATTAAAAGGTCTAGGCAAGGTACACTGCTCTACATTCCTGATGACTAAGGAAAAAAAGCTCAAGTCAATTTAATTTGCAGATGGTCAAAGGATTTTGTATTCCAGCAGGAGCAGCAGTTCAGATCTTCTGGATTTTTTCCCCCACAACTACAGGATTCTCTTTTCTGATTTTCTCAGCAGCATCAGCTTTGTAATTGTAAGAGCAACTGTGTACATCTGAGTAGCGGTGCATCCCGCAGTAAACGTTCCCACACCGACACTCAAACCCTGCGGACAGAAACATCACTTTAGGCAGTTCAGTGTTCTGAGCACACCCACCTGTTCTAAATCCTGAATGTGTTCACTCACTATCAATAAATCTGTCACCAGTGTCAATCAGCCAAAGAGAAGCTCTGCTGCAGAAAGCATAAGAATCAAAATAATGCATTTAAGTATTTAAATCAAGACTTGACCAATCCTTCCTATTGCATTATGTATCAGTGCAAAACGCATTCCTGAAGACTTCTGGATCACTTTCTTTGTTTCTGAACCATTATCCCACACAACCCAAGCTTCTCTGGCCCTTCCACTGACCCACTGCAATGATGGTTAGCAGATGGCAGCCACCTATCAGCCAACCCCCAGCTAAGCAGACTTCAAAAGAGCAGTACTTGCAGTTACAAATTTCACTTAAAGAAAAGAAGCTGAAAAACAAAACAAATGCATGGAAGACTAGATCTAGTACAAGCCAGCTAGAAACAAAACTTGGGCAAAGGCTCTTTCAATCAACAGCATGAAGAAGTGACCGTACCCCATTTATGCCATAAGATGTTTTCAAAGCTCCAAAGCCTAAGTTTCTTTTTAAGAAGAAGCAAAAAGAGAATTTCTTACCAGTAAGTCCAACTTTCTTCCTGCACATGAAACAGCGATTCTTTTTCTGTTTTGGTTTGTCAAGTGACTTGTCTTGCTCTTCAGGTGTAGGCTCTGCATTCTCTGACACGGAAGCTAATATTAAAAAGTTGATGAGAACACTGGAAAACATTTCTCTCTTCTTCCTCTAAATGATACGATAAGCTAAAGCCCATCTTGTCAACTCAGGCTGTGGGGTTGAGTCATGTACTCAAAGCACTCCCTCCCTTTAAACCTTCAATCCAACTCAAGGAGAGAACTCACTGAACGCCCTTATAGAATTGACAGTATTAAGTTACCACACATTAAAAGGTTTGCTATCTGTCCCTTTGTACATCAAAGTAAGTAAAAATAGGTTTAAAAATTAAGAGTCAGAGCTGCCAGATTTGAGGAGAGAATGAACATCCAGCACCAAGTGTTTCCCATCAGTGTTACTGGTCTGTTTCCTAACACAGGAAATACAGAAAGAAGCTTTTAAGCAGCATTAGCAGCACTGTATATTATGAGTACGTGCTATGAAAAATCCTTCTTACCAAAATGTTGGAACACTTATTTTCACTGAAGGCTGCAATACTGAGGCCATACAAAGTGCAGTGTTTCAGAACAATCTCTTCTACTGTGATGCTGCTGCTCACCTACATCTACAGCAAGGAAGTCACTCCTTTGTCCATGAATCTCAGAACTACAGGACGTCCACTGCTCTGAAACCCACGAGGAAGGGAAATACCTCTCTCAGTTTGAAGAGATTTGTTAAGACTACTATCTGTTCAGACTAGTTCAGTGTTCTCTCACACACAGAAGACAGCTTACAGATTGTGTGGAAGAACAAAAAGTACTGGCAATATTTGCCTTACTCAGGTCAAAACAGAAACTGGTTGGTTTTCCTCAATATTTGCACATTCCTCACTTTTCAAAACAAAAATAGATACCAGAACAAACTTGATTTCAAGAAGGGCTCGAGAGGTTTGCAAGGTAAGTATGAAAGCAGTAAGGACTGAAAGATGCACAAGAAGTATCAGAAGCGGGAAGAGTTACCAAAGTGCATTCTAGCAGTGTTACACAGAGCAGACCTTCCTGCATTTATTAATTCATTAGGAAGCCTTTATGCCATAAATTGGCATTTCGGAGCTAACAACTCAGGCTTACATTTCCTCTTGCAGCAAAATCCAGTTACTTCAATATAAGTTTTTACAGAAAGCCTCTGTAACTGTAAGGCAAATTTAAGAAAAGCTGGCACAGTTCCCTGCATAGCAAGGCTCTCTAATCTACACATACACTTATTTACTTTCTACATAAGACTCTCACACAAGAAAAAAAGGTTTAATAATATTTAAGGGATGCTGCTTACTGCTGAACTGAGTGGGAAGATTCTACTGCTGCCACAAGTCATTTTCTATCTACAGTAATAACCATACATTCTGCCTCTCAGTTTGCTTTTGCACAGAAGACAGATTTGACTGCAGATCCTCTCTGATAATCATGAATGCCCCAACTAATAAGTCACCTTTAGATAACAGGGTGTCAGTGCTCTGTCTGTAAACTAGGCATGACACACAATAGAAAAAAGCTAGGTAAAATGCAATGCCACCCAGCTTGGAGCTCACAGGAAATATGCTGCAACCACTCCCAGCTGCTGTATTTTGTCTGGATTCCAGGATGCTGCTGCCTGTGCTGCTGGAACTGCTTCCCTCCCTTCCTCCAGCCCCAGCCCTGCCTTTTGCTGGGGAACAGAAGCACCAGCAGTACCAGGACAAGCTGCCAACTAACCAACAAGGAACAGAGCAAGAAGAAACACTCACCTCTCGGGAGGCGACAAGCTGTCCTGCCCACTAGAAATCCCTTGCTTTACAGAGCGTGCTCCTAGCTGATCAAAACAACCAGAGCCTGGATTTCCTTCTAGAGGCAGCAGCTTTTGCTAGTGCTTTGCTCATGCCAAGTCTGCTTGAACTTCAGCATACTCTGACCATGAAAACAACACCTTGGAGATAAAGCACACTTAGTTCTTGTATCCCTGCAGGCTCAACACAGAACTGCGTACATTTGTTGCAAAGCTGCTGACACCTCATCTGCTCTCTCCTCTCCGCCTGCTCTGGATGTTTTGTTTGTCACCTCTGCTACCAGGCAGAGCTTCTGAAAGAAAAAGGTCATTCCCATGAAAAGACTAACAGCTACATTTACCTTTTAAGCACATCTGACCAAACCTAGGAAGAACAACACTCACTCCCCAAAAGAAATGAAATATAAGGTTAAACTAGAAGATCACTACTAATTTTCAACAAGAAGCCAAAGTGATCAGCCTAACACACACTGCACCTACAGAAAGACAACAGCAGGATATTGCTGCATTCCAGTCCTGTTTGCATTTTTTCCTCAAATGAGAGGGATTGTTTCAGCCTCAAATTAAAGATGCAACAAAAAACAAAAACCAACCTTATCATTTGCACTCCTTGCTAGGTTCCTATACAATTTAAAAAGGGTTCTCTTCTCACTTGGGTCAGGCTAGCCTTCCCCCACCACAGGCAGAAGGAGTCTTAGATGTTGGCTGATGACAAACATAAGCTAATCCTTATGGATATGAACTAGAAAGTAAAGATCATAATAAAACATAATCACTGTGCTACTTGAACAACCTTAGGAGTAAAGCAGAAGTTCTAAAAAAACTAATCCAGTATACTACTGAGAGACCTTGTACAGTGTTATAATATGGAGGCACTACGTTTATTTTAATGCTATCTTATGTAAAAGCACACTTACCTACAGAATTTAAGTTTAAATCTTTATCATCCTTCCCTCTCTGCCTGGAGAACTCCTCTAGTAAATCAAAATATCCTACGTTATTTCTGCACTCCTATCATAAGCATTCTCCACACCCAAGTCCCAGGTACCACCACAAAAACATGAAGTAGCCATCAGTGCCACTCCAGTACAGCTTACTGAGACAGCCCTGATAAGGCCCACTGAAGTTGATGAACTTTTGGCTCAACAGCATTCCCATTAGGTCCAGGTTACCTGCCTGTAAAATTCCACAGCAACTACTCTTAAGAAAGCTTTTTATTCAGTCAGTGATACCTCACAATGAAAACAACAGCCCCACAACCAAAGCCAAGCAAGTGCAAAACCAGCTGGCTTAATTGAGAACAAACATGCCTGCACTTTTCAGCTGGATACTCAAGTTGGTTAAGTCTGATTTCCTCTTAAAAAGTCTTTCTGAAATATGTGAATCCTAACCTGACTGATTTTAAACTCATTAAACCTAGAGCAGTGAAACACCTTTTTCACTTGCTTGCAGGCTTGCCAGGAGGCAGCCCAATTAACCCAGTGCCCAACAAACAAGGAATCCTGACTGGCTAATTGTAACACGGCTGTAACATTGAGTGAAAGGTACAGCAGTCCACAAGGTAACCTAAAACGAGTTGCAGAGATGCTCAAAATAGAAGAAAGCTGCTAGAAGAGCTGGATTGTACCTACTTAGTGCATTTCATTTTAGGTCACCTTCAATGATACGTTCATAAGAACAGTAAATTAAAGATATGTACCTATTAGCCACTATCTAGTGTCTGGGCTTTTTGCTCTACTCGGTACCTAAAAGCAGGTTTTTTTCCCAGCTAATAAATGCTGAGCAAGTGATCAAACAGGAGAATCCCCACACACACACCCCATGCACAGACAGCACAAGAATTATAAGCTCTTAGTTTGGGACTCCTACCATACTGAGACTTTTTAATGCTACACAGCTAGTCATGCTAACTGCCTCACACAGCCCTATTACATTCTTGTCAGAAGCCTAAAATTCAAATTCTGAATGATGTGGAAAAACAAACTTTAGGATGCAAAACCTTAACAAGGCAATAAAGCCCACTTAGCACTTAATATAAGTTGCTTTCTTTTCAAACTTGCACTTTTCAAAGCAGAAGGCTAAAACTGGAAAGGCTACATTTCATACAGTTTTCAGTTAAGGGATAGCACAGAAGTAATCTTCAGAAAAATGGGGCTGACCCTGCCACAGCCAGTTATAAATAGGGACTGTAATTTAGAACTGCAATTACGTGCTGATGTTCTTAGTTTAGAAACTAATAAGGTACAAAGAAAAGGACACAGCTGAAACACTCTAAACACCTGACGTAGGTTGACCCTTGAAATGCATTCTGCAGAATGGGAATACAGGAACATACCCTTGAAATCAAAGTTTCTAGTTCCTATCTTCTCATAGGGAGAATTAGTTTCAGAGAGGGATAAATATATGTTCCCTCTAATTCTCTGAATGTGATTTGAGACATTCTTCTGAAAGCTTGCTGGGTAAAGTCTTTCCAGAGGCCCAATCACAGAAAAAGCAAAAATGATTTTAAGCTACAATACTATTACCCTACCTCCAAGTGAAAAAGCAGTATATGCTGTAAGCCCAAAGTTTCAACTTGCAGTTAAGCCAAGCAAGCAAGACGTATATGTAGACAGAGACACTAACCCAGGCTCTGGGTGGAAGAAGAATCATGAGACTAGCAGGTTCTGGAAGCTTTTGGGAGTGAGTAAGAAAAAACATGGCAGTAGATGATGAGCCTAAAGAACTGACATCATATTGCCTGATACAGGCTTATTCTGATAGAGATGTGACATGCAGTACAAAGATTTCTGTGTCTGACATGAGGTCCCCTGCAAGGCACATACCTGTACAGGAGCTGGGTTACAGCAATGCTTCCCAGTTTCTCCATACTGTAGAACTGAGATGAAAGTAAAGCCATGTGTGTATTTTTACTCAGAGGTACAACAGCTCCAGATGTGCCTTGAAAAGCCACTTCCACTGTGCAAGTACCCACAACTTGAGACCTATAAGCCCTTGCAGCCCCTGCTTTCTCTCAGACTAGGTAAGGTCAGATGTCACTGATCTGTATATTAAGAGCATGCCTTGTGCACACTGTCGAAGTTGAGGTATTCTGTTCCAGAAAATGAAGTAATGGATACTAGTACATACTCTTAAAGATGCATTCTGGATGTAAATATGTTTCCAGTAATTAACTTTGCAAATAGCAGTACAAAACAGCCTAAGCATTAAAGTCTTTCCACCTCCTTGGTCACACAAACTGTAGTTACGAAACTCAGAAGACTTTGCTGAGCACAGGTAACAGTCACAGAGAGTGACTCTTTTATTCTACCCTACAAAAAGGGACAACTCTGATTTGGTAAAATACCTGAAACACTGAACTTCATTAACAGAAGTTTCAAAAGAACCTGTATTTAGCAACTGAGTGAAATGGCACATTGTATCTGTGGGAAAACCTGAACTGCTATTTTAAGCCTGCAGAAGCAGAGCTCTGTACACTGAAGCCTTAGCTGTGTCAGCAAGAGAAAACACAGAATACTTACTGACTTACCTTTAAGTACCTTCTATAAAGTCTGTGGATTGCAGGCCTGAACAAATTTGGTATACTATCTGATTTTTGCACTTTCCTAAGAAAACTAAAGCGTTTAATGGCATTTAAGTTCTGCAAGCCTCTACATAAGCAGAAGAATCAACAAAGAAAAAAAAACAAGATAACAACAAAATCTGTTTACATTGTAATAACAACAAGAATTATAGGCCAGACTTGAAATGATCCTTCCAGGTGGTTTTTTTTTTTTTTTTTTTCCTCCAAGCAACTGGAGTGCATAACCTAATAATAATTTTATCTTTGATCAAGTAATACACTAAAAATCAATCAAGTCCCTAGGCAAAAGGCTCTTCAGTAGATGTTTCGTGCTTACACTGACAGTTTTCAGCTATGTCATAACACCCTCTGTAACAAATACACTCAAACTTCCGTGGTGCTTGCCTAACCAGCAAGTTACCAACCTGAGAAATAATGAATGCTCCCAAGTCTATCCTCATGTAGTAGCTGTGGCATAGAGACTTAACAATACATTCATTTATGACGTGTATTTCCAATCTCAATTAACACACTTGTTACTGAAACTTGCAATTAAAGTCAAATCTACAGTTCAAGACTCTTACATTAAGTTTATCATTATTTTTTCACATCTGATTTCACAGAACATTTAGTTCTGAGAATGGGCCATCTCTTGAACAGGAGTGTATAACGAACAGTCGAGGTTTTAAAAGATATTTACAAGATCCGTCTCCAAAAGCCAGGTACCAACCTTGCAACTCTTCTGTCTCAGGTACTGTTTTGTCCACAGCTGTACTATCGGGTTGGGATGATGCTACAGATTCTGTTAAAAGTGACTGACTTGATACAGGGCTGAAAGGCAAAGAAAAAAAGTTATACTTTGTTTTTTAACATGAAGCTTGTCTATGTCCTCCAGAGCATTCCTGAAAGAAATACATTAGAGTAAATCTTGACAAGCATGCCAGTACTTTTCACTTCAGTGTTGTTTCTGTAACCAAAGTTCAATTAAGATTACTAGGCAATCTGAACTGATGAAAAATTAAACATCTTTGCATTCATACCGAGAGCAATAAACCAGTTCAACTAACAAAAAATGTGTTATCTCAAGCCCCCCAACCATTTATTGTAGTTCAGTATGTTATTCCTCCATACAGAAGAAGCAACAATGCAACATTCAACACAATTTCTGAAACCTTAGCCAGCAAGATAATTGTAGGGGAGCTACCTCTGGTGTTCCTGTGATACGAACAAGAAAATTGCAGCATGTCAATGTTTCCAGCAGTAAAGCATCTTCAGTTCTACACAAAACTTATATCCGTGCAGTATAAAACACCAATGGCCAACTTTCTCCACTCTGTCAGCCATACTGCTAAAACCAGAGGGCAGCTGAAGAGCCACAGTCAAATACCCAGGATAGTTATGGGAGAGACAGGGGCAGCTCTTCTGTGCCACAAGGCTCAGGTGAGGGGTAACACCACCCACTGGCCCAACTTCTTTCTCCCTCTGTTTTCAGGGATTTGCTCTGAATAAGAGAAATTGGGTTACCCAGCAGCCCACACTTTAACAAAGCCCTCCCCGAAGGCCATGACACAACCAGGACATTTGGGTGGTCACTTCAATTGCCAAGAGTTGCACGCAGCTCTTGACCTGAAGGTCTGAACACCTACAGAAAGGCATGTTTTGTTCTGCAGCTGTTTCCTCAGAGCGTGGAAAGGCTCAGTGAGGTACTGCCAAAGACTGAAGTTGAGCCCCCAACTTTTATTTTGGAAAAAAGAAAACGATGTTGATTTTCTGCCATGCGAGGCTCAAGGCAAACAGCCATTCCTTTCTCCTGTAACCAACAAGCAAGCTAGTGATCAAATACAGTTCTTTTAAATACAGGTTGGGTGGGAAAACAAACCCAAGGCACTTCAGCTGGTTCACCTCTGCACACCGACCTGGATGATTCTTCTTTCATTAATTTATTTTAAGAATACCTAGTGTAACTGTTGTATGAGGGCAAGATATTTACATTCTACCTCAGTTAGAAATCCCAGAATAGAAAAATCAAATACGACATCAAGCACAGCACCCAGAACTCAGTTCAGAGCAGGAGGCAAGCAAGAGATAAAACCTCCTATAAAAAGCTATAGGGCAGAAAACAGCCTGAGCAGAATCAGTCAGCGATAACTAATGAAACCAAATCCTGCTTACCCTTGGTCTGCACTTTACTACATTTCATTTTTTAACCAGCAGTATTTACTCAGATTTTCATTTCACTTCCACCATGCAGCTAACATTCCTCACTCCAAAAAAATTCCAAAGCACTTCTAAAGTTGCTGTTGGTTATACCAATCCATAACTGAAATACAGCCAAGCAAATAAATATTTAGCTTTCACAAATGGAGAGCACTTAGTAAGTCTGAGTGATTTACAAGAGGACATTACGTCTCTCTGTATAATCCAGTTGGAAATGACTTGTTTAATAAGACATCAATTCAGCAGTACAACTTGTACTAGGATTTAGACATCCTTCCCCTGCATGCTCCACATTTTGCAAAGCAACCAGTTTGTTAACACATTATCATACACTTATGAGAGTACCCATCAACAGCTTTCTGCCATTTTTACACAATTCTCAAGTGTATGGAATGGAAAAAACACTGCCTTAGTAAGTATACAACTAACTGCAAATTGTGGAGCTGGAAGACTAGCCAGATAAATCTCCATGGAACAGCATGAAGCTGGCAATGCTCCTATTTGAGGCTAAATTCTGAAGAGAAATTTGCATTTGAATGCAAGATGTAGCTAACAGATCCTCTACTATTTATTGTGAGATCCCATGCTTTAAATGTTTCAGTTAAATTTTAGATGCTTTCCTAAGCTAGATCCCTGCACTTAATTACGGAGCATCAAAGCACACTTAATTTCATCACGCAGACTAAAACACTTCCATGCAAAAAAAGACAGAATGACAGGACCAGCTTACCTTGGCTGCATAGATTGAGTCGATGAAGAATCTAAAGTTGACTGAGTTTCCTGGGCACTGCCTTCTGTGCACTGAACCGGTAAGGACTCGGTTATACTACTGACAGAAGTTGCTGGAAGGAAGACACTAATGTAAAATGTGTTACACTACTTCCGAGGGTTACATAAACTGCACAACTATTCTTTGACCCCCATGACACCAGCCAGGAAAGTAATTGAATCTCAGTCTACATCATAATGAAAAATAGTTTTACAAAAAAGTAATTATGTCTGGTCATATTTCAAACGTGTTTCAGCCGCAGGCCACCACAAGCTTCACAGCACAAAGCTGCAAAACTAGAGCTTTAAAATACTATTTTCTGTTACTTAGAGTGTCTACAAACAGCCTTCTCAGTATAAACTCCAAGTTCTCTAACATGATAGGTTTTGATATTCTTAAATGAACCAGAGTGGATCTCCGAGATACAGCACTGCAGCATCTCAACATCTCCTTAGGATACACTAGGAAGTTGTAGAACCTGGATCTCTAGGTTTCCAGCGATGAAAGCTGAAGCTTCCAAGTAAAAATTACATTTATAATAACAAAAAAAAGAAAAAGTTCACAATAGAGCCCAATGGGAGAAGCTTGGTGTCGATATCCAGCCAAGCCAGAATAGGCATTTCAGATTCTAGAGGAATGCACTTGTCACACTCCTTCCCACAGCAGGACATGCTGAAGTCTGAAAGAGTGAAATAGAACAGAGAAAGGGTTCCTTCTCCCGAGGGAATCACCATTAACTCTGAGGGTGAAGAGCCCTCCCAGCTTTCTCCTAGAGAGGAAATTTCTACTGCACTTACTGCAGTGGGTTGGGGAAATCAGTTATGTAGAACAGAACAAATACTTTGGGCACTGGATCAAAAAAAAAAAAAAAAAAAAAGATTAAAAAGGAGGAGAAGCCTTTCTTAAAATAGAAAAAAGCGTCTGGGAGTCAATCCTTCAGCATCAGGCTGCAAACCTACACTTCAAACGCTTTTCACAAACATTCCCTAGGACAGATGTTTCCTCCACTATCAGTAGTTTTGGGAAAAATGTGTTAATATATCTCTGCACTTTCATCTTGGAATTGTAAACCACCATATGAACATAATATATATTAGCAACTTTAAGGAGCTTAATTACAGCACAACACTGTGAGCATTTCATCCAAGTTCAATCCATCAGTTAAAATACATGGATGAATACAATCTATTGGTTTGCACTAATGCTCCTGCGTATTTAGCACTGTGCCACGGTCAAGGTGCAGTCTAGCTTATCATTTCAAGTTTCCAAACAGCAGCACAACAGCACAACTTACCAGGAGGGCTAATTCTACCATTACTGTTCTGCCTCTGAAGATGTTCTTTGTAGCATACTGAACACATGCCATTTGTCCGAGGGTTCCCATAAAATCCGCAACCAGTGGAACAAAGCATAGGCACTTGGCTACGGTTGGTTTCTTGAGCCATTTTCTCTTCTTCTACACACCTGAAATTGATATATTTCCCATTATTCAGACACCTCAGAAGCACTCTTTTACACTTAATACTTGGAAACCTACATTTCTCTACGCTCCATCAAGGTGCTTAAGGATAACCTTAAACCTTACCAGCAGAACTACCACAAGTGATCCTCCTTAATGGTATTCTTAACTTTGTGACTATTCTCAAAAGGCCTAACTTGTAGATGAGTTTCTGACATCTGTTACTTACTGAGGCAAAATCAATTTTCATTTTTTTTCCTCCTCATATATACAGACATATCTGCTCAATTTTGCACCAGTTGCAAAATAAATGTTTCTTGTTAACAAACTAAGTATCTCAAGGTATCAGCTATTTTATTCAAGATCAGCTTAGGTCTACCATTTTATATTTCCTCACCAGAAATTAGGATGAGGCACAGACAATTCTTCTAAGACAAAATGAAGACAGATTAGCAGCATCACTGAAAATCAATGCTACAAGTAATGTCAGCATACATATCAAAAGCATAGAAAAAGAAAACTCAGAAGTGAAGAGGATCTAAGATACTTGATTATTTCACCAATTGTCTAGCTATAAAACTAGATGAACCTATGGTCAGAAATACACCTGGGTGATAAGGCTTCCTTTTACACAAGATGTATTTGAAGTCACACAACAATTGCATTTTGTGTTCATTTACCAAAAGCACGTGGAACTGATACTCAAAAGCAAATCTCTGGGTTGCAAGGCTCGGAGCAACACCAACACCAGCCAAGTCCCCTGTTCATAGCAGTGAAGTGCTCTACTTTGAGAACTCAAAATGTAAGACATGGAAGAAAAAAGAAAAACTTCAGTATCTTATTAAGGTTCAACCTGCAATTAAGCTTCTTTCAGCTGTCTGACCCACCACTATACAGAAGTGTTTTGCTTTTAACACACAAAGCCCCCACTGACCTCAAATGGCAGCTAGATTTGATTTTGCTGAAGTACTGTACTTGTAAGTGGAGAAGCACCTTCCTGCCTGCCTTTCCTCCAGATAACCCCACTCAAGGAGCTGCAAGTAACCTATGCAGGAATTCAGTTCTTATGCTGGGCCCACTCACACAGTGCAGCTGAAGACTGAAGTGTAAATTAACACGAGTTGTCTGCGCTGTGGTAACTCAAACCACTTTAAAGATGAAACCTTATACAAGTCACTGCTGGCATACAGTATTTAAGATTGAAAATCTAATTAAGAGCCACTTTGGACAGAGTATTTCAACAGCTAATAAAGACTCAGTCACTGGACAAAAACAAAGCTTTTAATTTTAGATTTAAAATCCCTACCAGACTAAACTTCGAGTTTTACTATGATTGTCTTTCCATTCACCAGCCAGCTTCAAGCAGTGCATAGGAACTCAATAACAGCACATTATTGGGTTTTTAATTCCTGCCCAAACAACAGCTGCTGAACAGAGCAGGTGCTAAAGCAGTCACACAGTAACAATCTCTGGATAATGGACTTCAAGTCTGCTCCATTTCAATAAGCAAATTGTGAAAGGTGCACAAGGATGACCAGAAGAAAAACTAGAAAAGCCAGCTCCTGAGTTCCTTAACCAGCGGATCCAGCCACCAAGTGCACACGAGCCAATGGCATGAGGCTCCAGAATGTGCTGATCAACAAGGGAAGTGCCACAGATGCCTCCGGAGTTTCAATAAAAGCCACAGGAAGTGGAAGTTCCTATATTGGTTGCTAATATTTTAGGAATAAAATGAAGAAGAGATAGTATTGAACTGATGCAACAGTACAAAACTCAATGAGAAAGGAGCTGAAACAGCACAACAGCTTGTTGCATTCCAAAGGGGCAATGCATCCATCGCCTCACTTCATTAGCAGCCTGCAAGCTCCAGGATGAGATGGCTGACCTGAACCATCTGAACCCTAAAGCCACACAATGCCAAATCAGCATAATGAGCTTTTGCTGCCAAGCTTCTCACTCCCTCTCCCATGCTGTTCCCACCCTTGCAGCGCTCATAGGCACTAAAAGGGATCAAAGAAGTGATCAGCTCTAGAAATCCAACTGCATCAGCCAAGCTGTTTGTCACATGTTTGTCACGTCCCCTGGAAGTGCTCAAGGCCAGATTGGATGTGGCCCTGGGCAGCCTGGTCTAGTATTAGAAGTGGAGGTTGGTGGCCCTGCATGTGGCAGGGGGGTTGGAGATGCATGATCCTTGAGGTCCCTTCAAACCCTGGCCATTCTGTGATTCTGTTATGTGTTCTTGGGCAAGAGAGAGGGATGAGAGTGGGAGACGCAGGAGCTGAAGATGCATGGAACAACTCATTTCAGCAGAGGAGCTGGCTTCAAGCATTAGGAGAACCACTGACCAAAAAGCAGACACTTGAGAACACAAGTGACCAGAGGCCCAGCATATGCTTCATTGGCACTCCTCCCTCACCTCTCTCACACCACTGGAGCCAAACAGCAGCAAGCACAGCAATCAGGGCTGCTCCCATCTTAGCAGGCACTAATAGCAAGAGGTGGTGGAACAGCTGTTCTGGTTCAGCCTCAGAAGATCTTTTCAGAACCGTCCATAATTCCTCAAACAGGAAGATTCACAGAATCACCGAGTCCAACCATCACACATAACAGTGGGCTGTCATGGCAACTGCACCCTGAGAAGTGCTGCAGGAGGAGTATGCCTGCTCCCACAGCCCCTGTTGTGCTCCCACCCCTTCCTTTGTTGGCAACCCCATGGTGAGTCAGAGCAGCTTGCTTGTGTGATGGAAAACCAGCAAGATCTGTGCAGGTGAACTGGGAAGCTCACTGGTCTGACAGACAGCTGAGATCCAGCATACAGTGCAAGAAAAAAGACTACAAATGGGACTGGCCATTTGTAGTGGAAGCTAGCTGTTACCAGGAATTAAGCCTACTGAACGATATATCCTATCAGCAGCTTCACAACTGTCTACAAGCTTGGCTTGGACACAAAACTTGAATAAACTTCACAGTTGGAATGACAGCAAGGTCTTGGGAGCAGTGTGGATATATGCATGTCCCAATGAGGTGCCACAGAGCAAGTACAGAGCCTGGAACACTGCTGGAAATATTTCTAAGCTCTGCCTGTTCCCCCCCAAGCTGTGCTACCACAATGCTCATAGGGTCACCCTGTTACTTTGAACAGGAATTGATCCATCTTTGGAAGAAAAAAAAAAAGAAAAAAAACAACCAAACATCCAAACTCTTCACAATATTTCAGAGACGTTCCCTGCAGTGCTCTGTAGCAGAGCTGCACAGCCAGCTGCACGAGCACCAACATGAGGGAAGAGCACTGTAGGAAGGGCAAGAGCCTTAAACCAGCACAGCCCCAACACAGCCTTTGATGAAGATTACAGAAGAAATGGCCTCTTTTTGTATTGGCTAAACATCGCTGAAATTAAGACTGACTTCATATTACTGCTCAATTCAGAAATGCTTCTCGTCATAAGAAGCCCGCAGTGTGTCACCACATTAAGTCCTCTCCTTCCTACCCTTTCAGACCATCTCGACCACTAGCACAGGTCCAACTGCTCCCCTCTCACTACTGCACATCCTCAGAGGGGAAATTATTTTCCACAACAAGCAACACAGAACCACATAAACAGCACCAGTGATCATAACACATTCAGAACTGAACTGCGAAAGCTGGTTACGCTCCCCAGGACATTGGGTTCTCTGGGAGAAGAGAGAGCTCTCCCAGTAATTCAAAGAAAATAACAAAATATTTATGAACCTCCTTTCCCCCCCAGACTATGCACCACAATACTGTGCTGTTGGGTTTGTTGTGGTTTGTTTTTGTTTTTTTTTTTTTTTTTAATTAAAATGTTTCTGTGTCACTCATTTCAAAGAGCTGATATTCTAGCTTTATAGGCTTGAAATGTTAATCAGTAAGATCAGAGAGCAGCATTTAGTAGGATTAAACACACAAGGTTTAGGAACTCCAAAATGCCAGCCTGCAGTCAGCCTTCCTTTCATCCATTCCCCTTCAGGAAAAGATCTCCTGAATTCAAGTTGTCCTCACACCTCCTTCCCATTCTGACACGTCCATTTCAACAGCATTTACTCACACCTCATCCTAAAGTTTCTCCTACTTCAATTTACATCATCTTACTCAAAGCTGTCAGTACTGAGACATCTTTTAGCAGGTGCATAGCCAACCAAAATGCAGTTTGGACCACACTGATGCCAACTTTGGAAATGCTTCTCCAAGAGAAAGCAGAGAGCTGAGTTTAAGGTGCTCTTCACTGTCAAGGAAGCTTGAGCAATGCACTGACAGGTATCAACATACTCTCATCTCAGATCTGATTCCAATTTTTAAACAAGTGTTTAAAGATATTCCCTCCTCTATCACAATCACATTTATAATGGAACAGTCCATTTAAACCAGTGCTAATGGTCATCTCCCCTCATCCTAAAGAAGCAGGGAAGAAACTACAAAAAAAAAAAAAAAAACAAAAAAAACGGGCATTGGTGCTGCTTAAGCATGTAAAGCTTCATCCCAGGTCCAAACACAAGCAAGACACAAAGCTGTGCAGATTAAAAACACATTTCACTTTATAGAACATACAGGTATGGATGTCTGATACCACTTGTATCACCGTGTGAAAAGGCACGTTGGTGCAAAAAGCAGTAAGCAGCAAAATGCATTCCTCCCCCGATTTATCCAAACAAATAGCAAATAAAGGCCTAAGAAAAGAGCTCTGCTGAGTCTTGCTGCAGAAGCCTCCCAAGTGCTGACTGTTACAGGACACCACAGCACAAGCCACAGAAACAGGGAGCAGCTGCTCAGGTGCCCCACTGAATGCAGGGCTCTGCTCAGGGTACAAAGCCCCAGGAGCACAGAATAATAGCAAGCTACAAAATAGCCCTGTTGTTTCAGTTTTTACCCTACTGCTCTCTCCCAAGAGGTTCCAATTCACATTCACTGAGCTGTGGCTTGGAGCTCTAAGGCACTGCCCTGCCCCAGCAACTTGCTGCAAACCCAAGGAGAGCTAGCAGGGCTGAGCAG